GGGAGCTTGCCACCAGGCAGTTCGCCACCAGGGAGCTCACCACCAAGTAGTTCTCCACCAGGGAGTTCGCCACCAGGCAGTTCGCCACCAGGGAGTTTGCCACCAGGCAGTTCGCCACCAGGGAGCTCGCCACCAGGCAGTTCGCCACCAAGCAGTTCGCCACCAGGCAGCTCGCCACCAGGCAGTTCGCCACCAGGGAGCTTGCCACCAGGCAGTTCGCCACCAGGGAGCTCACCACCAAGCAGTTCGCCACCAGGGAGCTCGCCACCAGGCAGTTCTCCACCAGGGAGTTCGCCACCAAGTAGCTCATCACCAAGGCACGTCACCACCGGGTCAAATAACGAGATACTTAGCCAAAAAAATTTATACATCACAAAAAATGGTACGTGACCAGAAATGGTTACATAGATGCAAACATGAATTTCAATAAAGCATGCTGATGCCGCCAATTTCACAATCTCCAAATTCATGTTGGGAGATGCTTGGGTACTTGAGGGGCTCCTCACTATGGCGGCCTACTATGAGAATTCAGAATCACCTGACTCTGTTTCCTTTTTCTTTTTCCTTCCATCTTATTCTTGCAATTTGTATTGGTGACAGATAAATGCCGAAGGGCTTGTTTACTAATAATCACGTTAACAGCCTAATGCATTTGAAGAATAGTGCAGGTGAAGGAAATGTTTAATTGTCTGCTTGGATGCTCAGCCTGGGACATGGGTTCCAACTTTGAACTCCATTCTTCCAACAGAGACATTTGGAAGAAGCAATTCAAATTGTAAACCTCCTAAATCATTGTAGAACATGCCCAACTACCATAACTACACTGCTTTTCTACAGCATATCTCCTCAGTAACGAGTACCTAAGACGGATAAAGGGTCCATGCCCATTTCAATGACTCAGTTTTGTACGTTGGATGTTTATTTGTTGACTGCATGCCTGACTTGTATTGGAAATGTTAGGGCCCGGAAAATGCCCCGAACTTGTTCAATGCAAAGAGATCTGTGTTCTTAGAAGTTGGAAGATCGTGATCCCCGGCTAATACAGAGACATATTTCGTATAGACCTTAAGCAAATAAGCAGCTCCCTATAGAGTAATTAATTTGGATGCAACTAAGGGAAATTTCAAATTTACTCATACTTTCCTCTATACTTGCCTTCATTTGATTCTACTTGATGATTCGCAATCTGGTGCTCCCTGCCAATGTTTTTGAACCGTCGTTGATCCAAATGGTCGGACCGTTCGGCCTAGAAACCGTCCAATCAATTGGTTCTATTTCACCCCTAACCCGTTATTGGGTAAAAAACCATTGACTTCATCAGAAAACCGTTGACCTGGGTGGCCGAACTATCAACTCGTTTGACCCAGACAACGGTTCGTGGTTTAAGAAAATTGCAAAGAAGGGAGAAACTGAGAGTCTGAGACACAAACTCAGATCTGAGATCTAGCAGAGAGAGAGAAGAAGAAGAAGAAGAAGAAGAAGAAGAAGAAGAAGAAGTAGAGAAATCGATCTCAGATCTGAGATCCGAGAAAAATTGATCTCAGATCTGCGTCTGTTACTGCCGCCTCGTCATCGTCTTCACCATTATCATTGCCAGTGAGCGTCGAATCATCCTCCTCTTCCTTCTTCTTCCCTCCTCTCTTTCTTTCCTCTCCTTTCTCTCATTTTCCTTTTTTCCTTTCTCCTTCCTTTCTTTCTTTCCTTCTTTTCTTCTTTCTCAGCCGACAACAGTCTCTTGATTCTCTTCTCCAGTTCTCCTTTTTCAAAATATTTTCCCTAATGCAAACCATTCAAACCGTTCGACCCAGACGGTCGAACCACTGACTTAGAAATCAGTAGCTAGAACAGTTCTATTTTTGGGCCAGTTTTTAAAACCTTGCTCCCTGTTGGAGGACAGCTCGGATGTCAGGCTAGCTAGGCCGCCTAGTCTAGCTACGAGAAAAGGAGGTCAGAGTGTCCGGGGTGCTTTACCTGGTGTGGGCACTCCAATGCTTAAGTTAGCAAACTGGAGGTTTTTGAGTGAGCTGAAAGCAATATTGCTAGAGTATTAAGAGAGCCGAATCACACATACCTGGTGAGGCTGGAGGTGAGGCCTTTATATAGGCAAGCTGCCATGGGCCACACGATGCGTGTTCAAGATCCTTGGCTTGTTTGGTCTGGAGTTGGTTTCGCACCCAAAGGCAAACTCCACGTAAGCTGATAAGGCTTATCCAGGTCCATCCGAATCGGGCAAGGAGAAGATGAATTCCGTTGACATGGTGATGTGATCACGAGGAGATCAAAGACAGTTGACTTGCTTCTGGATAGAGGTTACGTGGCATCTCAGTAGATCGGTGCATATAGTTGAGCTATTTGAGCCTCGGTCTAACTGGGTGACCCGAGGTGACTAGGATAATTGGGGTCACCAAGGCCGTTGAGGTGTCACCTCATCATTCTGTCACTCCACATGCCATCACATCATTTGACGGGCCAAATTACCCCTCATCACTACTCTCATATCCTCCCTGTTGCTTGTCCACCGAAAATTGTGGACGTTCCTCTCATTGTCTCTAACCCAACGATCTCAATTCTCGACCAGATACTAAGAGTTCTCATTAAAAACAACTTCAGAATCTCTTTGGTCAGGGAGGGAAATGCGGGTATGAATATGGTCGTTGACGAATTCTTTGGGTTCTTCTGGAAAGTTGCCTAGGATCTAGCATTATTTTCTCTTTCTCTGTCTGCATCTCTGGTTCTGATCCCTCATAACTGTGGATGGGGAAGATTTCATGAGTCTCTTCATTGATGGCAAGGTGGAGTTGTATATTGAAACTATGAGGAGTATGGGCATTTTGCGGAGTGCCCCAACGAATAGAAGCGTTTTCATGATCTAGTGAGGTTTATGTGGGTGTGGTAGATAAGGAAAATTAGATGATACACAAAAGGGCATTTATATCCTTTTACGTGCCAGTCAATAATTGGTTAAAGGCAGGGATTAAAATGACACGTTTTAAACATTTAGGTACTGGATTTACACATTTTAAAGTTTACGGACTAAAGTGACACAAGGCACAAAGTAAAGGGTACTAATCTGTAATTTCCCTAGTATTTAATGTGGTGCAATATTTTAATCCTTTGTGTAACCATGTGATTCTGGTCAGATTTACAATCAGCATGAAATATAGTCTAAGAAGGATGAGGTTAAAGACCCAGGTGAGATTTGTAGAGTATGCTTAGCTATAGAGTGTGCAACACAATTACTTTTAATCGATGAACCCAATGATTGAGCAGTTTGGGATTCTTGAGAAGAGTAGTTTGCACTTTGCAACCTGCATTTAGGTTTGATGCGCTAAGAAGGAGAGGTGGACATCTCCAATAGACAAGAAATAACAATCTTTACAATCCCCTTCGAAAATAAAGGAGGAAGAACCAACTTCAAATGCCAAAAGCACTCCCATAGACAAACTCAGCTTGAGCTTTTTAACCACAGATGTTCGGTCCACTTTAATAGCTTTCCCGAAACAGAATGCGCCTTTGTGGTCTCTTAAAACTACACCAATAACACCATGAGAGGAATCCGGATATCCTGCCCACAAGAACTCTGCCCACATTTATCCACAACACACTACCCCCATGAATTGGAAACATCTCCCCCTGCATAATACTATGCAGAGGTTGAGATGTTCTCCATGTGTGGCTGCGATAAATGTGGGCAAGATATCCAGACTCTTATGAGAGTGGGATAAAACTGCATCAAAATTAACTTTCAGCATACCAACAAGTGGCTTAATCTACAACTCCTAGGAAGTGAGGTATTAATGATGGGAGTGGAAATGTGAGCCCATGTAGAGGATAGACTAAGGCTGCATTTGTTTTCGATGTAAATGAGAATTGGGGTAAATTTTACACTTAGATTCAATTTTGTTCACATTTATTTTTGGTGGAAGTTTTACATTGAAAATCGATGTAAAGATCAAGGTTCAAAGTATTGATACGTATCGGTGAAAGTTTTTCACAACAGTTCACTCTTTAAGCCGATCAATGTACTTTTTAACTGATATACTTTTACATTGATAATACTTCCTCAATCTAAGCTTATGGTAGCAACTTGTAATGGGTTAAAAGGCTTATAGTGAGATTTCCAGATGTGCTACAGAATAATGGACCCTTAGATAAAAAAGAAAGAATACCAAAACAATGGATTAAAAAAGGGTTCGACTATGACATAGAAAAAAGATATGGTATGGGAAAAACAATTGACCAATAAATTGAAATCACAAACGTCATAGTAAATAAGGTGTTATTTATCAAAATTCATGAGAAAAAAAAGTTAAAAAAAAATTCTCAAAAAAAATATTTAAAAATTCCTTATTTTCTATCAAGGGTTCGACTATCATATGAAAAAGATATGATATTTGAAAATTTTTTGACCAATCAACTAGAATCATAAACGTGATAACCAATCAAATGTTATTTATCAAAATTCATGGGTGAATTTTAATTGATCAAAACTTTTCCCATACCATATCTTTTCCGCATCATAGATTTTCCCTTCTATCAAACCAAACATACTTGAATCTCCTCGTAGTAAAACCTCTGTTCACACTACATCCAACCGCATATCTAAAATATCTAATTTATAGGAGATATTCCAGTTGTGTAGCTGGATGCCATGCTTGCAGACTATGAACTGAGTATCCTTTTGGAGACTGAGAATTTGAATTGATAACTACAGTATATTGCTGGCCACGTTCTTCCAGCGCCAGCGGCACATTGGAAATATTGGCGATATAAAGTATAAGAGAATATGTGGTCGGATGAACGTGGCCAGGCGAATTCACATCGGCGCCCTACAGGCTACAGCACATCCCAACTATATATTGAAAACATCTATCGATGACGAAATATTCACGGTGAGATGTGCATATCGGACGGCTGTAGAACGCTGATGTGATTTTTTAGGCTAAATGATAGCGTGGCCCACGCCCACTGCTTTCTTAAAACATAAACGACAAAAATAATGTAAACAGGGAGTCAACCCATCTGTTGCTCGGAAAGAACGGCCTGGCCGGAAATGGAAACTCTGCTTCGTACTGTCTTGTCTTCATTTTAATTTTCCTTTTTACAGGCAGATCAGCTGCTAGCTTCCGCCTTCCTGAAATGATACGCCTCTCACTCTTCCTCTGCTTTTAATCGAGAGGTGAAAATTCTTCATAGTTTCTCATCGCGATTATTATTATGTTATTTCGTTGCAAGGTTTAGTTGTTTAGTTGTAAAACTGTAGACTCTCCTCCCTGCAATGTAATCCATAGTTAGGTTATTGTTTCGCCTTAATTTTGCGTTGTTCTTTATAGACTATAATTTCTTTTGGTGATTTTTGGTTAGGTAAATCAGACAGGAATAGGCGTTCGAAAGAGATGCTATAAGATTTTTTTTTTTCTTATAGAATTGTTAAGTATCATGACTTTTAGAGAATTTTGTTTGCCTGTCTCCCCCTTTTCTTCCATTTTTATTTCCATTTGGGTAGCCAGATGCAGTATCATCATGCATCATCTCTGAAACTGCTTGAATTTTGGAATTCAGGTTGCTTTCTTGTTTGCCTAGGAAGTTACTTTTGCTGATGAAGTTTCAGAATCTTATGGGACCTTGCTTTAAACGGAATGATTTTTGGGAATGTGGATAGACTGTTTCGTTCTATATCTTGATTTTACTTTTGCTTTTAGTTACAATTTTAGAATTGTGCAGATTCGGTAAATGAATCGTTTCCTTTCTTTAATTGAATATCAGAAACAACTGATAAAGTGAAGTGAATTGCCCGGTTGATTACCATAGCATGGAAGTCATGATCTCAGTTGGTATTTCATATTTGTTTATTTCATGATGTGTCTGTCTTATCGTATGTTATCAAACAAATTTCAAGTGGTTAGTGGCACGAGCTTTGAAAGCTATTCCAAATAGGAAAACTCTGTTTCCAACTTATTGTTATCATTGAAAAGTTAATAGTAGCATACTACTTGAACCTTAAAACTCTCTTTTCTATTTTCTCAATTGCTTTTCCCGATGGTAATTGTGTTCTTGTGAACTCTGTGTTTGAGGCTAGAAGGGTTTGCCTACCTCTTGCTGATGCAATCTGGTAAGTAATATAATATTATGCTGAGAACAGGAGGAAGTTTGAGCATATGTTTACTTCACCAGTCAATCAGATAGGTAAGGGACCTTGTACTGGCCAGATGTTAACCTCCTTACTCCAGATCAACTCTATCCGTTGAAAACTTCAATTTGCAAGCAAAAGAATTGGAAATGGATATGTTTAGCTTATTACCCAAGGTCCATTGGTCTTAAAACTAACACCATTGATAGATGTCTTTGAGGACAACATGTGAATATAACAATCAAAAGGTCAACCAGAGACATCTATGACTTGGGAATTTTGAGAAAACTGAGTCTATGTGGTATAATTGGTTTAATGTCAATGGATTGGTTAATGGTTATGCTAACATCTTTTACCTCACTTGTATCTATATCATTAGGTTTCCACTCCTCTAGGTTTCAGGGCCCTAACCATAGTTTTTATTATAACTTTAATTTATGATCTTTATTAAATATCAAATTCTCTCTCATTTTGGACTTTCTGATATTAAATTCCATTATGACTTGGTCTAGTTTTCCCGGTTACCTTTATACTTATTATTGTTTCCCTAGTTGGGAATCCTAACATTGTAATAATCCATCAGCAAAAACTACTTGGTGCAGTTGTTTCTATTGTTTTTTTTTTCCTTATAGAATACCCCCATCGTTTAAAACCTCCATAATATATTTTTTCTTCAATAGTTTCCATCACCTCATTTGAAGGTGCATGCTACATTGATGTTTGTGTGCTTGCTACCAATGTAAGTGATGAACAACCTACTCTCTGTCTTTTTCTCTCTGAAGGAGGTTTGCTAGTTGTATTCCTGAGTAATAATGGTTATATGATGCAACTTACTTTTTTTTCTTTCTTGGCAAAAGGAGATCATTGCTTGTATTCCTTTTTCCAACATTTGGTAAATTATTGCCTTGAAATAATCATACTCTCAACCTAACTCAATTCAACAAAGCCTTAATCCTAACTACTTGGGTCAGGTTACATTTACTGTCTTGCCATAGAACTTTATTGAACTAAACAGGCACCACATGATATTATAAAATCTAGTTGCTTTTGGATGGTAATCTTTTTATCTGAACAGTTTCTTTTTTTAAGATGTTTTCAATCTGATTATAACTTACTGAACCATTTCAAATGAAACTACCATAGACAAGCAGTTCCTCATGGTCTCAAACTATTGTCTCTACCTTAATTTAAAATTTTAGTAAAGTTCAAATCTGTATCTGAATTTTGTTCATTTCAATCAGCACCAAATAACCATCAGATTGAAAAGTATATTCCTGCATTTGAATGATTTAGAGCTTTATATAATGGAATTTATTTGATTTATGGGCCCAATACACCTTTAGTCTCAGAACCGTAACACCCAAAACCATGCTGGAATGTTTTCTGGAACTTTCAGTTAGTAAGCATTTTTGGTTCACAATTTTCCATTTTTTTTACTTCAAATTGGTTAAATGTATGTAGGCAAGTTATTAATCTTTTAGTTCAGCTTGTACCAGAAAATATGGCTTGAGTTTCAAGTTTTGTAGTTATGAGTCTAATAATCCGACGTCTAACTTTCAAGATAAAAAAACCCAGCTGAAACTGCTGAGTGGGATAAATAGAATTTTGTGGAAGAGGTTAGACAGGTGGTACCCTATGCCTCAAATATGGCTGTCATCTTTGATTCAGAGACTCACTTAGCTATATGAGTCCTAAAATATATGAAAGCAACTACAGATTTAAAAATTACAGAACATACTAGGACAATATTTAGATGATATGATTTGTAGTGATTTTTTTTTGTTGTTACATGTTTATTTACCTTTGAAGGAGCATATTTGTAGAGTGTATGTGTATTTTTTTTCTTGGATGCATCCCATCAGGAGAATTACATGACTCCTGCCAGTGGGATATGACAAATTAAGAATTTAATTGATGATGCATTTTGGATAGTTTTTCTGTTTTGTCTTAAATGATCTTCACAGATGTCATTCTACTTGCAGAAATAAAAATGGGTCAAGCACTTTGCTGTATTCAAGTGGATCAGTCAACAGTGGCCATTAGGGAAACGTTTGGGAAGTTTGATGATGTGCTTGATCCTGGATGTCATTGCTTGCCTTGGTTTCTAGGAAGCCAATTAGCTGGCCATCTTTCATTGCGTGTACAACAACTTGACGTTCGTTGTGAAACTAAAACTAAGGTATCTGCTTTTGTTGTCCCTATTTCCTCAAATGATTACATTCTTGTCTTCTATTGTATTGTTTCTGAAGCACTATTACCATGCTATCTGATTGATCAAGATTCAAATTTATTAAATATTTCAAGAATGATTAAAGCTAAACCAAAGAAAGCTACTTGAAAATAGGGAGGTGAAAGATATTGGTGAACCAATTATCTTCTTCTGAATTCTTAGCATATCCGTCATTAAATATTATACGGAAAATCCAACTCCATTTAGCATAGCAGCAAGAAGGAGCAAGAACAATAAACTGAAACCATCACAAAAGTTTACCTGCATGCATCTGTCTAATTATCTTTACTTACTTGGGTAATGGCACTCACTTGAGATAAAAATGATTTTAGAATAACTACAGTCATAGTTCTCTATGCACTATCTTTTACTTGGATGATGATAATATGAGTTAAACTGATATATGGCATGGCTCAGAGAGCATTTTTAGTTTATATATGTCACTTATTTTGTTGTCAATACTGCCAATGTGTTTTATGTACTTGTTCCAGAATAAAGAATTTTTATTTCTACATTTATGTTTGAATGGTGCAATTGTAGATTCTGATCAATTGTATTACACTTTTTTAAGGATAATGTCTTTGTCACTGTGGTCGCATCTATTCAATACCGTGCCTTGACAGAAAAGGCAGCTGATGCTTTCTATAAGCTCAGTAATACCAGAGCGCAGATCCAAGCATATGTTTTTGATGGTATGAATGTAAAATTCTAAGGTTTTTTATTTTTAATTGTTAGCGGTTGGTTCCATTGTTGCTACAATTATACTTTATGTATCCATTCTTAGAAAGTGCATGTTGTATGCTATGTTACTTGAACAAATTGGAGAAGAAGATATGCTGAGCTTTACATGATAGGGAGAAGAATTTTGAATCTTTTGATACTTGAGAATACATTCTCTTGTTTCTTCCTTCTTGTGGTTATATTGAGATTATCAGGTAAAATTGATCTTTCAGTCACTTAACAGAGTTTCTCACTAGTGCATGGTACACAAACCTGATCTAGGGGAAGGGGGATCCTGAGGATACTCATTGTCTAAAAGTAACATGACATAGGCACATTCTGGACTCTTGACATCCAGCTCTTTCTGCATTATCTGTATGCCACATAACAAAGACTTGACTGTAAAAGACTTCATGTCATCATACTATCTTGAAATAACTTAATTTCACTTAAACTTCTTGGACCTCAAAGGTTGTTTTTGATCAGTGTCTGTTAATCCTTTTGCTTTTGTCACTCATACTTCATTTCTTAGTACAACACAATTATATCCAGTCAACTTTAAAAAATTAGTCTTAGTTAGCATGTTCATGAGTATTAGCATCCATTGGAAACTAATCTACCGGTCTTACTGTTCTTCAGTTATCAGGGCCAGTGTGCCCAAGTTGGACCTTGATTCCACCTTTGAGCAGAAGAATGAAATAGCAAAAGCAGTTGAAGAGGAGCTCGAGAAGGTAATTTTTTAAAGTATAATTATATATATTAAAATTTCAACAGGTTTTCCTTTGAGACCTATCTTGATTGCTCATCCAAGTTTTATTTTGTTCTTTTCTATTATTTTATGGATGCAACAGGCCATGTCAGCATATGGTTATGAGATTGTCCAGACTCTTATTGTGGATATCGAGCCAGATGAGCATGTGAAGAGAGCAATGAATGAGATAAATGCAGGTAATTGTTTGTGCCCTTTGCATAGCTAGAATTTAAAGTATCTTTTCTTTTCAGGTACATCCAGAGTGGAGATAGAATTGAATTCTACTTCCATCTCTATTATGAAAAATTCAAATAACTAACCCCTAGGAATTTCAAGATCCACATAAACCTAGAATTGAATGCCCAATATCTCCATTTTTTACTTATTTATTCTGCTCCACCCTTAAGTCATGGCAGAATTAGTAGTTTTCTTCACTTAGTCTCTCGATTCTGCCCTCCCAAAATCCATTTCAATCCTGACCCAGGGAGAGCCTAAGTTCCCATTCTATATTTACTTTAGTGGAATTTCCGAGTCCATATAGTGAAGGGGCTTTAACCTTTTTTATTTGAAAGAGGAAGAAAACTAGTAAGTTTCACAGGTTTAGCTTATTTTTTATAGAAAAACATTTCATACATGGAGATAGAGCTAATGTGGAAACCAGCACTATACATATACATAATCCAGATATCCCCTCTCAGATTGACATTATATTTTCCGCAACCTGTTGACATGGCTGGAAAGTAGGCATAAGAGAAGGATAAAATGTATGCCTAACATTTCCCAATTTTTATGTTCCATTAAACTGATTGGCAAATATTTGAAAGATATAGAAGGGATTAAATGATTAGAGAGTCCATACTCACTTCTGGACCATACAAGTCAATGGTGTTCGATATTTATGAGAACCACATTAATACCAATTATTCTCAATTCAACTTTCATGCATGTTCCAATACAAGATTATTACCAACTATTCATACGAGATCTCCTGGAGCCAATAATAAACGTAAATATGTTAATTTAAAGGATAATGGGGTAGCCGAGGCTACTCAGTTTCTGTACTAATTCTCATATCATTTTTCTTAATAAAATCACCTTTGCTGATAAAAAAAATATGTTAATTATGAAACCTTCATGCATGCTAGGGTAGAAAAAACATTCTTTGGATCTTCTTCTACATAAATAACATAGTGAGTGTCTTTTGCTTGTTTCACGTGAATGGCCAGCATCTTTCATGTTCACAAGCATAGAAGTGTTGAATACTTTGTATCATGGATTGTATCAAATGATTTTTGGTTATAACTCTTAATTTGTTAATAGCTGCAAGACTGAGGGTGGCAGCAAATGAAAAGGCCGAAGCAGAGAAGATATTGCAGATCAAGAGAGCTGAGGGGGAAGCAGAATCCAAGTACCTGGCAGGGCTTGGCATAGCTCGGCAGCGCCAGGCCATTGTGGATGGATTGAGGGATAGTGTTCTTGCTTTCTCTACAAATGTGCCCGGGACAACAGCAAAGGATGTGATGGACATGGTGCTAGTGACTCAGTACTTCGACACAATGAAGGAAATTGGTGCATCATCAAAGTCCTCATCTGTTTTTATTCCACATGGACCCGGTGCTGTGAGAGACATTGCGACCCAAATAAGGGATGGCCTCCTTCAGGCCAACACAACCGAGCTCTAGGATATCTGAGTGTGATGTACAAATTAGTCGAAGGCTTTCCAACCCATATTCTTTCTCCTTTTGTTGTGCATAGTTTATTGGTATTGTAGGAGATGATAAGTAGTGTTTGCCTGTTCTGCTTCGCTTTGTTTTGTATTAAAGTATTGGTGGCATATTATGATTCCCTAATTGTCACACTATTCATATTTGGGCATAGATGTTAGACAACATGTATCTAAACACAATTTTATGTTAAACTTGTATGCTTTTAAATTTATGCATATTAATAATGGACTTATGTGTCTTTTGGGTCTATATCTAAGCAATTTTTATTAACTATCTTGAGTATAGATTTTTATCATCTAAGTGTTTACATTTATCCATCTCAAAATTTTTCTCTTCCATATGTATTGTTTCTTGATTGACAAACATTTCACAACATTGTTGATCTCACAGCTGTTTTCCTATTAGAACTTTACTGCCATAAAAGAGCATTTTCCAAAATTGCTAATTATCATTTTTTTTTTAAGTTTCTAAATAAATGTTTCTCCTCTCCGTTCAATGGTTCAAAAAAATTTGGATAAGCTTTAAGATTTGTGATTTCAAAGCACAAACATATTTCGGGATTTGATCCCAAGTCTCCGCTACTAACTACTAACAGCAAACCTTACCAGTTGGCACGTTCACTTTAGAATTTAGATGATAATGTTTTAAGAGCAACTCTTAGTCTCTTACCAACAGTTCAAAACACTTTTTTTAACTTCTTTAGCTTAACCAAATAAAGTCTTTATTTTCTAAAGCTTAGTAGTTAGTTCTAATTAGGGGTGCTAACCAAGCCGTGGGGCATTTTTTGTAATCAAACCAGTAGTACTGGTTTTTTAGAAAATCGATAACCGAAATTAAATCAAAATATATCGGTTAACTGTCGGTTTTTCAGTTTTTAATTTTTTATGATATAAATTATAAAAATATATAATAACAAGTTATAATATTATATTTTAAATAATAAATAATATATCATATATCATATATTATAAATATATAATGCATATTTATTAATTTATAATATATAAAATATATAGAAATATATATATATTGATCGGTTTGATTAACTGCCGGTTTTCAATATTGATTAATTGAAACCGAATCAATATCTTCGGTTTTTTAAAAATACCAAACCAAAACTGAATCAATTGATTTGGTTAACCAATTTTTCAGTTTGATTTCGATGGATTCAATTTCTGTCAATTTGGTTTTTTAGTTTTTTTTTCTCACCCCTAATTCTAATGGGATAAAACAAGAAAAGGACAGGCAAGTATCAAAATATTATGTCATGAACTATTTAGGATTGAGTTTGGAAATTTGGAATCCCGTTATTTCAGTGGTGACCAAACCCTTTATCCGGCGAGATATTTTCCAATATGCAGCCAACCACCCTGATCTCTATCCAAAACAAATTGGTTTACCATTGAGTGGATACTATTTTATTTGCTTTTCTTTCTTCTAAGAATTGATTTGATAGAGACAGACTACAAATGTTTGGTGGTTGCAACTTGCAAGTGGAATATATCCCGAACCCGAACCCGATCCAGTCAATGGATGTGCGTGCGTGCGTGCATAAATGCATCAGAGTCCGTATAGTATTTATACAAATATTTTTTAAAAGTACTTATTTTAATAATTATTTAAAGCGCCGAATCATTTATTAAATTTTTAAGCATTTATTATGATGGAAATATTTGATAAACTACTTTCCCCGTAAATGTTAGTGTTTATATTGATACAAATAATAATTTTAATTATTACTTCATTCATACATAATGAAAAACTCCACATTACGACAACTGAATCACCATGTGATCCCGGCTCTTGAAATTATTTCGCATAATCGAGAATACGGTCGATCACAACGAATCAAATGACATACCGTGCAATTTCTTTTTGTTTTTGTATCCACCGCCGTCGTCGAATGGAAAAAAAAGGAAGCAAAATAAAAGGAGAGAGAGAGACTTTACAGTGATCGGATGGTTAGAATTACTTAATCATGTGATTCTTTAATAGCCTTGATTTGACATTTTCTACCAACGGTTCAGATTGATTCAGACACCTCGTAATATATTACTAATTCCCAGTTACCCACTGTTTTTGTATGTAATCCGGTGTACCGGAAGATGTTTTGCTTTGCTATACGGAAAATTAAAACAGGGAGTAATAAAAGGAGGAGAGCAATAAGAGTGAAAGGAAAAGACGAAGAAACTCGATTTTTTGCTTTCGACCACCAGGAGGAGCAGGTAAATCTCTCTCTCTCTCTCTCGTTATTTTCGATGTATATTCTTTGAAATTGTAGTTGTGGATTTTTTTGAGACTGACGAGAGGGATCATAAGACGGCAATTACATACAGACTAATTTGATTTTTCTAGGATTTTTCCTATCCAGACTTTGTACTTGTCCTTTGATGTCTTGTTGACAAATCATAAACGGCAATAACCTTCCTCCTCGGATCCGAGAAAGAATCTTGAGCTCTCTGGATTTTTGTTCTTGTTTCTTGCTTCTTTCTTCTTTCTTCTAGTATACGATATAGATTATGTGCTGTTTTAATATTATAATTCTATTATTTAAGAGTATATTTATACGATGCTATTGACTTTTCTTATGTAAATAAGATATAGTAATTTCAAATATTGTTCAGGTATGATTTCTGGTGGGGATTTTACAGTTAAACTTCCTTAGCCTCTCCGCTAAGAACACAAGATCAAGGGGTCGTGAGAACAGCTCAAATAGCTCAGACTTAATTTTGACACCCATTCGTAGTATGTACTTGATTCGTTGTTGGAATTTGGAAGAATCGAAAAATCAAATCTAGACGAGTATTACTAACAATGGTTATAAATAGTAATGGTAAAAAATGAGCGAGTAGAATAAACTAATTCAACTGGCGGGAGAACACATACTCTCTTTGCGTCTCTTTCTCTCACTTGGGTGTATATATTGTCTTGTTCAGGTTGTCCTTCCAGAGTACCTGGCTTTTATTTCTTCTCTTGATCCCTTGTTTTCGTTGGTTGAGCCTTGAGATAGATTGTGCTCATGTAAGTTTTTCTGTCCCTTGCTTTCCCACTTATTTGGTGTATGTCTATTGCTTTTTTGAATTAAACATGGAAGATTGGTGGTTTCCTGGTATAAACTCTGGATGGCTTTTATTATATTATTTTTTTTTTCAGTTTATGGTTGAAAGCTGTTTCTATCTTACCAATGGTTTTCGAATTATAGTGATAGAAGTTCAGATTTGAACCCAATTCAACCTATAAAAGAGATTGTGTTTAGAAACTCTTAACTCACTCAAAAAAATTGAGTGGATGGTGTTGGTTTCGGTGCATTTCCAATAAATTCCTAAAGTAGCCTGAAATCATTGCAATGTTATAGGCGCTTCTACCCCGCAAAATACCTTTTCTTTGTGTGCTGATACTTCTTCTAACTGTTGTTGCGTGTAGCATATAGTATTTGTTGGACGCTAATAATGGGGACATCGCCTTTCATGAGCATTATTTAATATTTATTTTTATGTTCTTTTCTTGTTTTCGTTCTTTTTCCTGTTTTCCTGAATATGGCTTTTTTTGAACCAAACCAGAATCTATTACTAAAACGTATTTCTCATTTGTTTGTGATTTTTCTTTTTTCATTTATTATAGATGATCAATCTATGTAGAATACTGCACAATATATACTTTTAAACATATCAGAACAGAACATTGAAAACATGGATTTTTTTTTCTTTAGAAAGCATGGACAATAATCTCTTTAGATTGTTTTCTGACTTTCTTTTAAATTGTTGATATGAACAATTTTGGTCATACTAGACAGCATGGGTAATCTTTTTTGCTGTATACAAGTTGACCAATCAACAGTAGCTATCAAGGAAAGATTTGGAAAATTTGAAGAAGTACTTGAGCCTGGATGCCATTGTTTGCCTTGGTTTCTTGGAAGTCAGCTAGCTGGACATCTCTCTCTTCGGTTGCAGCAGTTGGATGTGAAGTGTGAGACAAAGACAAAGGTCTGTCCATTCTGTTAATTTGGATACCTCTCAGTTATAAGCGGTGACCTCTTTTATGTGATTTTACCCAAACTTTGCTCTGCTCTGCAACTTGGATCCATTTCTACATGCTAGCTCTATTTGATCTTCATGGAGAGTGAGTTTATCCCACTATCCATACAAGGATACATATCATATTTTAATCCACACCCATCTCAGGTAAATTGTGAATTGTTGGCCATGCACTCTATAGTCTAGCTTATAAGCCCCACCTACTGAACTCCACAAACTTGGTTTAGCTTACTTATGAGTGACGTCTAGGAATAAGTAGAATTCTTTTAGATGTTCATGCTAGAATTTACGGAGCTAAGAGCACAGTATTTTGCTTTTTGATTTGCATGTTATGGTTATGTGCTCTCCATCTCCCCTCCAAAGCATGGATAGAGGGCAACCTCCTTAGGAATCTCTAAGATGATTGATCTTGTGATGACTCTAGGTCTGATAGGTTCCGTCATGTTTGTCTTTAGTTCCCTAATATGACCAGGATCTACTACCAGTATCTTTGTACTATTTTCTACTTGGCTGGAACTCATGATACAAGGAGACCATGCATACTTCATGTCAAGAAAAGTTTACAATGTTCCAAACTAGAATACGATGTATACAAGGAGACCATGCATACATTGGTGTTGTATTATGTCAGATTTCAAACATTAGGAAAAATTTAGTCTCCAACATGTCCACTGATGTCCTTGGCAAATCTAGGTAACATGGGTGCAACCTTCTGGTCTTCTTATTTTATGTTCAATTTCCTGACATTTATACTATGTTTGATTTCCTGCTTATTGGTTTCAATTTGTCATTGTTTTAACAAGATATGAATTTAACACTTACTTCTGCTATGGTATTCCGGATGTAAATTGTGCCTTTGTGGCTGCACGGAGATATTTGGTCTTTTTTCCAATGAGATTTTTGGTCTTTACTTTTGTCATCCATCCTTCAGGACAATGTATTTGTCAATGTTGTGGCATCTATACAATACCGTGCCCTGGCTAATAAGGCAAATGATGCTTTCTACAAACTAAGCAATACAAGAACCCAAATTCAGGCCTATGTTTTTGATGGTATGAACCAAAATCTTGAAACTGGATTCATAAATATATATTTACTTGCATTTGATCCTAGTTACCCTTGATTTGGTAGTTATGAACCTGTCTTGGTGTTTACACATTTTCAGTCATCAGAGCAACTGTACCAAAGCTCAATCTGGATGATGTTTTTGAGCAGAAGAATGAAATTGCAAAGGCTGTGGAAGAAGAACTTGAAAAGGTAATACCGTAACATCATACTGGTTAGTTTAAGCAGCATATATAAACTCAACTAACCTATCCCCCACCACCTTCTCTAGGCTATGTCTGCTTATGGGTATCAGATCGTACAAACATTAATTGTTGACATAGAACCTGATGAGCATGTGAAGCGAGCAATGAATGAAATAAACGCTGGTAAGAAAGTGATTCTCTTTTGCAAACTTTTACAGGACTGAATCTCCCGTCACCCATAAGATCTTTTTTTCTGATTTGCGCTATTTTCTTTAGCTGCTAGGTTAAGGGTGGCAGCTAATGAAAAGGCAGAGGCAGAGAAAATTATACAAATCAAACGTGCTGAGGGCGAAGCCGAGTCCAAGTACCTATCTGGATTGGGTATTGCTCGTCAACGTCAGGCAATAGTGGATGGTCTAAGAGACAGTGTGCTGGGATTCTCAGTCAATGTCCCAGGAACCACTGCAAAGGATGTTATGGATATGGTTCTTGTCACACAATATTTTGACACCATGAAGGAGATTGGTGCTGCCTCTAAATCCTCTGCAGTTTTCATCCCCCATGGACCTGGGGCAGTTCGTGATGTTGCCACCCAGATCAGAGATGGACTATTGCAGGCGTCTTCCCACCATCAATGAGATGGGCTTTTGTTTACGGATTGTTTATACTAGTTTGTCTTGAAGAATTGTTCTTGGTCTTATGGAGTCGTGCCCATTGGTCTTCAAATATTTAGGTTGGTATATATGTCTACTGTAACCAGGTTTTCATAGAATATGTTTTTGTTTTCTTTTCATGATTGGTATTGCTTTTGTTGTGAGAAACATACTGTTTGCCGCGTTTCAGTCCTGAATCTTCCGATTCACCTTACCGGTCCGTTTACAATAGTGTATGTGTGAACTCAAACAAATTTACACTTTTAGCGGTTTTATCAGATCGGACCATCACGATTCACGACCACGAATGTCTCCACCAATGCAACTGATGACAGAACAACCATTTCGAAACGGATGGTTCATCCATGTTTCAATTGATCGCGCTGAAGGATTATTTCCTATTTCTTCTCACTTTTGGTTCGAACATTTAAATTATTTATTGTTCTATATTTTGATGGCGAAGGGAGAATTGCTTGCGGGTTTTTGGGAATAGGATCGCCGTTTGGAATGACGAGTTAAGGAACCGCAATCGCTAGGTGGAAAAATTGAAACTCCCTATTCGTTCAAAATGAACTGGCAATTGGGGTACGACACAAGCTCATTTGGAATGCATTGCACAGTGCACACCTCACAAGATGATACGATACGTAATAAATTTCTTACAATGGAGGGATTCTTTTTTGAATCGGGTGAAAAAGCAGCATTCATTGAAATGAAACAATTTTCGAAAGTAAACTACCTGCTAACGCGCAAGTATGTATTCTTCCAAAAAGAAACATGGGAAGATGGAACGTGAATGAAGATTATGCAGTTCATGCCACTGGCTAGAATTATTTTTACAACCCACAACACCACCAAGTAAGAAGGAAGCCGAGTAAAACCATGGAATAGAATAAAAGTCAGTAGATGAAAAACAGACCCACTTTGTTCTGTTCCTACCTAACTTATTGCGTTCCACCAAGGTGGGGAGGGAGCCCTTCTTCCCCTCGACCTCGAGAAGCAAAAAAACAGTTGATTCATTTAGGGCTTGAGAGCCAAAGCCAATCCAACCTTTGCACTCTTCTCAATGGCTCGTGTGTCCACTTCTCCGGATATGGTTAAAAGTGACTTGGGCCGCCACTCATGCTGGATGAGTGCACTAGCCTTTCCATAGTTGTTCAGCCGAGCCTTAACGGTGGTCAAGGGATCCAATGCATGCTGAGTACCAAAGGTGAGGGTGTTGTCATTGCTAGAGAATGTACGAGTCAGCTCTGCACCAACTGCCGTGTGGGTCAAGGGGCTCACGATGTGGTAATAGGAAGCAGTCAGGGTATCACCCTTGTCGTTCCTGAAAAATCAAATCACAAATCAATCACATCAAAAAACATATCTTCATTGCCAATCATCATCATCATCAAGGAAAAAGAAGTTCTACCATTCAATGTAAGGTTTGCAGGAATGTATGAAGTTTAACACCCACTACCATTCTACCAAGAACATTCTTGGTCAATAAAGCATGAACTAGCGGTTAGTTTAAAATGGACAGCCAAATAGAAGACTTTCAAAAGAAAATCTGGCATACCAACTAAATTCTACATTGCAACAGGAATACTAGCGGTTAGTTTGACAATGTCCAAAGAAATAAACACCTAATTTCCTCGTATCACACGGCAAATACACCAAGAATGATCATTTTAAAGTAGGGGAATCGGGTAATTTCGGTAGTTGGGCTATATTTCCTATGGGCTCAAACCAGCTTGTATATGAAACCCTTCATATACAAAGCCTTATTCAGACTATATGGGGTTGGCTACATGAATCTTGTTTCACCATTCAGTATATATGTATGGGGTAAACTAAAAATGACAATTTTTAGTCCAGCTTTAAAACAGGTATAAGTTTCATAATCAGCAGCAAAATAAAGATAGGAAGAGAGAAACAGAAAATACAAAGTAAAATGCTCACAAGGTCAAAGAAGCAATGAGATCAGCATTGGATAAGCTAGCACCAGCATTGAATTTCGTAAAGTTCCCACTTGCAGTGTCAAAGGAAAGATCAGTCCCAACGGAGGCAGCACTTGTTCCAACCACACCCGAGAAGTTAACTATAGGATTTGCAGTTAATCCAATGCTAGCACTGATACCTGCGTAGTCATGCAAGTACTGGAGCTCTGCCTGTTTAACAACCACAAACTTCAAATGTAAATCATACTGCAGCCTCAAAAAGTTCTAAACATCATAATATGAACTACATAGATAGAAATACGACACAAAAAATCACAAAAGCATATTAAAACATTACAACTTGTTAATAACTTGTATAATTACATGACATTAAAGTGAAGGAATAACAGAATTCCGCATTTTTTTATTAATCTATTTACATGACATTAAAGTCAAAATGAACTATTATGAAACTCAAAGCTGTGTTTCATAGAAAATTTTAAACAGATCTCAGAAGTAAACAACAGTTACACAATTAGAGTTATTTAACAATTAGTCATTCTTCTGTTAAATACTAGTAAGCTTTCCCAATGTGAGACATTATCACGAGAACATATCAATGTCTGACATAAATTCATTTGTGTTTGTGTGCATGCATGTGTTCCCACTGTGCCCATGTACATGGGGCTTGTACCAGTACCCACCATTTTCAGGCAGTATCTTACATCTAACATCTTTTTAATAACATGGCCTGTAAAATGAAAATGACTCTAAAGCTCCTATGATTTTATAGTTCTTGATCAAGTGACCATTTTTTCTTTTATAGGATCCAAAATATTTATCCCTCATAGCTCATGCATAGAAATGTTATAGACACACACACCCCTCACGACATGGCATTTTTAAATATCTGTAGTAATAAAGGACAAAGAATTCCTCACCTTGCCAGATCTTTGATCAGGGACTTTAAAGCTCAATATAGTCTTTAGTCCGGGTGCAGGTTCATCAACAGTGATAGTTGTAAAGACCTGGAAACATTATCAAGGAAAAGAAAGTGGCAGTTCAACCAACTGATCACTTATCATCAATAGTTACAATCCAACTCCCCTTCTTGATATTGCATGTAACATCCAAAACCTAAGAGCCTTTGTTTAAAATAATAATTTGCATCTTTGATATTAAAAAAAGGTAAAAAACATAAACTAGTTTATTTAATCAGAGATGCTGGTGTGGTAATGCCTCATTGAAACATTTCCACTTCCATATGATGTAAATGAACACTGGACAATAGTGAATGGATAACAGCAATTTTAACAAGAAACTTTAACAGAAGCTCATTTTCACAGAAACCCAGTTTTCAGCTTCATATTTTACTTCTTAATTCTAATTAATCAATTAAGTTCTTAGCACAAGAATAAAACCCAAATTTACTTTACAGCATCTCTCCAACCTAAATTCCTCTGCCATGGACACCAATAATCATGATTTTCAGTTTAGGCAGTAAGAGGTTAGCAAGTCCATGCTTAAAATCTGACACCCACATAAAGAGTCAGGAAGTTGGAAGGCATCAAAGAGATCCAACTAGGCAAAAGAATTACTAAAATGAACCATTCACATAGACCTCAAATTCCTGAAGACTGAAATTGGGTTGTAGAAACCAGATGGTTAGAATCATCTCATACATAGTCTCTTACTAGTCTGTTATAAAAGTTACAAATCATCAATATGCCAAGCAGAATAGGAATCCATAACCACAACTTCCAAAGTTTTTCTAGCATAATGAACAATATCTGAGTCCAGGACATAGTTGTCAAGGCGACACCTAGGCAGGCGCCCTTGGAGTCTCGCCTCACCTAATCACCAAGCAGTTTTCTATAGCGTGTTGTAACAAACTTTTATGTTCTTAATTTTTTAAGGTTATAATTATAAAACAGAGATTTTTAAACTAAAATATTCATTTAGTGTGTTTATATACTAATTTCTTTTTGTTATTTTCTTATTTGTTAGGGTTTAATCAACACAAACATTGCTAAATGCTGTATTGAACCCTCAAAGACTTCAAAACCTGAACCAATAAGTAAGAAAGAACATAAAATGTTGTCCAATCAGCACATTTTCTCTTCTTTTCCTATAACAGAAATAGGGGATCAGCCCCTATATTTTTCGAATTTTCTTTTCTTTCTTCTTTTTCTTCTCATGAATATGCTGGAATATGTTGATTTTCTATACTTTTCTAATGAAAATTATGGATATTTATTTAGGAAATATGAATATGGAACCTAGGGAACTACCCTAGAATACTTGTTTTTACTTAAAAAAAAAATCCATTGCCTAGGTGACTAGGTACCCCCCTGTCGCCTAGCCTCACCCTGACACCTTGAAAACTATGGTCCAGGATATGATAGTTAACGAGGAATGACATTTAACATAGTTGTCCAAAATAAGAACAGATTTATTAAAGGAGAAGTGCTTAAATGGATTACATTGGAGTTGGTGTCCACTTTGATGTCAGTCGTGATATTCTTGTTCTTCAGCTGAGTATTGATATCAGCCAAAAACAGCTCTCCTTTCTTTATTCCCGTTGAAGTAACAGCCTGAAATGAATATAAAAAGAAGAATACAGTAATACATAAACAAAATGTAGTTGATGGACATGATAACATTTAGGTCAGTTGACGCACATCATAAAGGGGGTTATTCTCCATATCAATAAAACAAAACAGTGACCATACCACCACGATATCATTGTATGAATACGTTGTGTGTTATATGGGAAACACAAATAAATCTCCTAAAAACAGTACCAAAATAAGATATTCTTTCCCTCTGTAGACAAAGCACACACAAGAACCAATCCCATAGAGAAATCAGCAATTAAAACTTTTAACCAAGTGAAAAGCACATGTGCTATGGAATCAATTGCGAAAGGGCTTACAAGTCAATCTAGAATCCTGCCAGAAAATGCCTCATAAATACAACAGATATTGCCATACATTGCAGAAACACCAAAAAGCGTGTATTGTAATATTTACATCACAATATATCAAGTAAAAAGATTAACAATTCAACAAAAATAATAATACGAAGTAGTCCACGTCATTGATCCACTGACTGAATATTACAAAACCACATCAGGACTTGGGTACAGGCATACAAGCAAATCATATCCTAGAAAGCATGATAATGTAGTAACGTTATATGGAAAGCCATATACAAAAAAACAGAAAGAAGAAAAAACAGTAATGTACATAAATATTGCAATTTTTTAGAGGTTACTAATCTGAAAACGATCTTTATTTCCAGAAGCATTTGGATTAGAGAAAAACTTGCATGGATCAGTCACACAACCGCATAAATCAAAAGGAATAAAAATAAATTAAAAGGACAAAACATATAGAGAAACTCACAACTCCAGTGGAAGTATAGGTAGTAAGTGTGAACTTGTGGTCGCTCTGGTAATCCTTGTAAAGAAGATCTACAAGCAAAACATACGAGAAAAACGAGAAATGAAATAATTGAAGAAATGAACTTGAAGCAGAGATTTTAAATGAGAAATGCAGGGAAGAGACAAGCACCTCTGGCCTTTTTGCCGATGTCGGAATAGAGACCAGGACCCTTCACCATGTTTTCTGCGATTAAGGGGAAAAAGAATACCAGAATAATAAGATAGGAAGAGAGACGGAGAAAGCAGAGCTGCAGAGAAACCTCTCGGTCGAGACAGACAGAGACAGTGGAAGGGAAAATTAAAAGGAAAACCCTAAGTTCGGCTTTTTTCTAAGGAAGGCCTGCAAGGCATTTTCTATAGAGTAAAAACCGTCCGATCGAGCGAGTCGAAGATACTCGCTCTTTCGACCGTTGATTTTCACTTTGGGAAATGGAAACCAGAAAGAGGAAAAGAAAAAGAAAATCGCATAACTGGTGAACGGGCTCGGTTTTCATCAAAGTTTCGGGAGATATTAATTTATCGGTAACTCGATTCAGAAGTGTTAAAAATATCGGGAAGGGATGGTGTGAATTTTGTGGAGGATAAACGAGGATGTCGACCTGGGCATCCGTCCACACATCGAGAATATCTCCCGTACCTGTATGCAAAATTAATCGGAGATGCTCCCAATGTGCGACTGGATGCGCCTGCTTTCAGATTTCAGACTGTGTGGAGAGTTTTTTGTTTGCAACTTCAATGGATCCCGTCCCGTCGCGTCGACCTGAGGCTAATCCTTAACCGTTGGTCAGGAACCTTCTCAATCGATGATTGTGCTAATGTGTTTCACTCACCGTTTTACTGGAATCTTTATATCCGTTCCCAATCCAACGGTTGATAATGTGGCGACGTGGCATATTAAGGTCAAAATTCAAACAGATTAAATAATTGCGGCCATCTGATTAAATTAACGATGGCCTTCTTCTCTGGCTCTGACATAACCCTACAAATGATCATGATGAACCATAAAGAGACAGTTCACACTGACACTTCACAGTTGGATTGAGTTGTCAACGAGATTCACACATGATGGGAGGAGGATTGAGAGTTGAAGGTTGAGAGGAGGGCCCACATTTTGGATGGCTGTGATTAGCTATTATGTCTTGTACATAGGCCGATATAGTTGATGGTGGTGGGTCCTGATTCCACATTTTGAATGTATCACGTGCTTCCAAGAGGACCGAAGAGAAAACATCGACAGTCGACTCGCATGAAAAATTCAGAACATCTCGCACTCGCAGCCGCAGCCCGCAGGTAGGCATGTTGATTATGTTGTGTTGTGAGCCTCGCAGGTATATTGGGCCCGTTTTAGATTGGGCCGTTTATGATCCCGACCCACTCCCAAGTTCCAAGTCAAACTCTACGTGATACGCGTATATAAGAGGATACTAACGCTTCATGGTTGGCCAGTTGGGTTGTTAATTTGTTATTTGTTAACTGTGACTTTGCCATGATCTCAAAGACTCAACCAGCACAAGGAATATTCCTATATTGCCTTCCCAATTAAAAAATATTTGAAATATATATATATATATATATATATATAAATAATAAAGTAAAAACATGTCACTTCATGGTCTCGTTTTTTTTTCTTAACCCAACCCATAACTCTCAGCCCCTCTTTATTTTAGCCTTCTTTGCTCCCTCATAAAGCCATCTCTCATCATTCCCTTCTTCCTCTCTCATTTCAACACCTCATCAAAGATTTATCAACCATTTATCGCCACGTCATTAGGGCTGTTAGTGTTTGGCCACCTCATTACACTGTCGTGAGGTGGACATTTTCCTTGATGAGCAACCTAAGGGTCTATTTGATTGCTGAGAAAATTGGACTGAGAAATGATGGGATGAGAAAAGGAAAATTTATTTTCTCAGTTAGTTGTAATGTGCTTGTTTGCTGAGAAAATCCACTTTCTAGTGTTTGTTTACTGAGAAAATTTTTGTGAGAAAACCTGTGCATGCATTCATAAAAGAAACTACTAGAAACTAAAATTGCTCTATTATTTGGACATATTGGTACATCAAAGAAGTTGCATTCAATAATATATTTCATTCAAAAAATCATACATACATCAATAAATCATTTGAATTTGTCTTTAACCTGTAATTAGTTCATCAATGCCAATAGTTCAACCTATTCATTCCATGTAGTCATAATCATCCATATACCAATAAATCCATTTGTGGTAAAATATAACAATTCATTCCACCTAATACAAGTAAATTGACCATCACAAAAAAAAGGGACAACAATCAAATTGCCAATGCATCCCCAAAAAATATACAAAATGGACGCAAAGGCTCAACCATCAAAACAAGTTTTTGTCATATATAATTAGTACCTAGTTTTTAATAAATGTGAGTTATAATAGTTTAAGTCTTTTATCCATCCCTTCAATATGGAGGCCCTAACTTCATTTGAAGCCATGCCTTCCTCAAATTTGGCTTCACTCCGTAAAATGTCATAACTCGACTTTCAGACTCAGCTAAGAAGTCATATGCTTTCATAAAAAATGCTATTGAACATCCTTCTAGGCTCATAACATCAGCATACACCTTTTCCTTGCTAAATAAACCAAACCCTCTCTCAACTACAGATACAAAGTTTCTCGAGATGTGTAGCAATGTCTTGCACTTGTTCAGCAACAATTGTAGCATATGACTTTCGTTTTCCTAAAACTCTTCCTTCTGCAAAACTACTTCCCTCCACCGGCTTTGCTTGAAGGTTAGGATCTCCACAATTCTTAGCCTCATCAATGTCATCAAACACATGCTCAACATTCGATGTTGCACTAGTGGTAGTTGCAGAAATTGCATCTTGCTTATTTAGCTCCTTGGCTATAAAGGCACCATTTCCAGTCACTTGATCATTTCCACATACCAATGCCAATTGGTCATAATTTGGAATGCTTTTTCGTCTAAACTGCTTTGCCTCTGGATGTGCCTGCTCATTTACCATGGGAGTTCCATAATAAGTCACATTTCATACTAATAAGTCATCTTTCATATAATTTGTAAACCAAGTGTTTAAAGTATAAGTGTTGTTAATCTATTTTACCTCAATATATGTAGCCCAAACATCAAGTGTTGCATCTATTGTCTTGGTTGAATCATTTCACGCAAAGCCACTTTGATTCAAAAGGTTTTTTAATATTACAAAATTCCGCTTGATTGTTTTCAGCCTATTTCGTATGTGTCTTGAGTACATTCAACTGAAAACTTAGTGCTAATAGCACGTGCCGCTGCAGTGTAAGTCGGTGATTTGAAACTTTTGTCAACCTTGTTTCCAAGGTTAACCTGCTCAGCAAGTGTGTCAATGAGTAAATTATCCATGTCCTGTGTCCAATTCATATTTGTTTTTCCAGTCTTGTTTTTAAGATGAGAGCTAGAAGAGTCCATTTTTGTTTCATGCCAATCAAATGAACAATGCAAATCAACAATATATATCCATAACACCAATTAATACAAGGTATTTGTGTATAAATAGCAATAGGCAATTAATAAAAYCAAACATCATAATCAGTTAAAGAAGTGAGTGCACACAGAAAAAAAGTTATATAACAAAAGTTATATTAGAAAGAAAGAGTTAAACAACAGGAAGAAATTAATGTCGAGCCCTAGATCGATACAAGACATAATCAGCCCACATTTGGGTAGCTATTTCTTCTCTGAGATGAGTTCCTTTCCTTGATTGTTCATTTTTACTAGCTCATTGAGATAGTTGGGAGATTTGTGTATTGTCTACTCTATCATCATTTAAATCATCAATTCCTACATCATCCTCAGTATCAACTGCTTCTCGATCATACTGATGCATGATGAAATCATACGGATCCACACCCATGACATGGTTGTATAAGATGCAGCATGTAGACACAATTTTGGGATCCCACGTCCCTCTTGTTTCTCGTCCCAAAACACTGTTTACCCGTAAACAAACGCAAGAAAGGGAGAATCATTCGGGAATATTCCATTTTCTCATCATTTTCCCAGCAATCAAACAGACCCTAAGGGAAAAGGAAACTCGAGTTTCCTTCTCCTTCCCCCTTTCTTTTCACAAACATTTTCAAACTTCCCGTTTGAACAGATTGGTAAGTCTTCCCATTCAAACTGAAACATATTGGTAAGGCCTCTCTTCTTCACCTATTTTTCCTTCCCGTTTTCACTCTTTTTTATGATGTTTAGAGATCAAGCAGAACATTTGAATTTCAACTTGGAATCGATTTATCGTTGCATCTGTGTTGCTTGAATCCTCATTTTTTCAATTTGATTCAAGAAGGGTCACCGTTTGAACAAGTATGTTCTCAGATTGCCTCCCACTGGTAGAACGCTAAGATGCTATTTGTCATTTTTCAGCCAAAAAAGATTGTTAGAACGCTCACTAGCATCCATATAGCGATAGTCATGCAGAACACGAGATTGGCTTCAATCAGGGCAAACTCGTGCCCACACCGCTCCAACTACCTTTTACAACCTTTTATTGGAAATATTTTTTCATGAAATAAAACACATAAATAAGAAAATATTCTTAATGCAAGATAGTAAAGGCTGCTCTAATAGGCTTTGCTCTAATCGGAGCCAAACTCGCAAAACACCGGTGTTTTACTGCATTGGAATACCGGTTGAGAACTATTGTGTTCAAGTGAACACAATAGCTAAAACCCTCGCATGTTGACAACTATTGTAAAAAAAAAAACCCTACTATAACACTTACGACATCTGTACGGTGATAATCATGCAGAACGTTGGTGCTTTGCTGCAACTTGAACACCGGTTTGTTAATTTTAGGAGACACATGGTTAAAGGAGGGAGACAAGAACACTAAGGTGTTTTCATCAAATGACAAATTTTAGGAGGAGAAGAAACTCTCTACAATTCCTGAAAAAAAGAGAATGGCGAAATAATGCAGTTGGAAGATATAGCTGAAATGTTTAAGGCTCATGCTATCCACACAAGTAGTGAGCTAAGAGAGGAGGAATTGAATATTTAAAATCTAGTATTAAACAAACTCTCTGAGGAGGAGGCTAAGGAACTGTTAATTCCACCATCAAATGAGGAGATAGAAAGAATTGTAAAATCTATGAATCCGCACTCTGCACTAGGACCAAATGGTTTCCCTTCTTTCTTCTATCAGAAATACTGACCCATAGCCAAATTAAGAAGACGTATGCAAGATGGTTAGAGATTTCTTTCACACAATGGAGTTCCCCATAGCCAAATTCAACAATATAGACTCTTCAGTGTCTATAATGTGATATACAAAGTGTTAGCAAAGTGATTGGCGC